TTTTTTTGGTTTTTCTCTGGTACCGGGAACTGAACTCACGACCTTGCGCTTGCCAGGCAGGCGCTTTTGCCGCTGAGCTAAATCCCCAACCCCTTTAAAACATTTTTAACTATAATTAAATGGACATACAATTTATCCACATTTGGGGGATGCAAGGAAAGCAGCTGAGAGGGAATTAATGGTATTGAGTGCGTATGCAGGTACGCATCATGTAACAGTGAGGCTGTGTTCTAAGGAAGGTAACACCAGGTGATTTCGTTGTTGTGGGGCCTCGTAGAATGTACTTACACAGACTAAAAGGCTATGACATCACTAAGTGACGTAATCTTATGAGACTACCATGGTCTCTATCACGTGTATGGTCTGTAGTAGAGCAAAATGTCATTCTGCAGTCCATGACTGTATTAGAAGAATTGGGCACATGCGTGTGATCCCAGTAGCTCAAGAAGCTGAGGCAGGAGGATAGAAAATTTGAAGCCAGCCTAGGCAAGAGTGATCCTGTCTCAAAATAAAATAAAGTCTGAGGCTGTACTCAGTGGTAAACTGCTTATGTAGCATCCTTGAGGCCTGGATTCAATCCCCAAATCCCCAGTGCTGCAGAGACAGAGAGAGAGAGGGAGAGAAATGTAGTCTTTCACCTTAGGGAACTAGAAAAAGAGGAGCAAATTAAATTCATAGTAGAAGAAAAGTAGTAAAAGACCAACAATTAAAGAAACTAAAAATAGGAAATTAATGGAGAAAAATCAATGAAATAAAAGCTGATTCTTTGAAAAGTTCAATAAAATTGAGGTACCTCTGGCCAGGCTAGCGGAGAAAAGAGAGAAGAGTTAGCAGTATCAGAAATGAAAGGGCGGTCATCACTGCTGATCCTGTGGACATTAGAAGATAACAAAGCGAAACTATGAGCAATTTATGCCTAGAAATCTGATAGTCAAAAGGGATCAATTCCTTAAAAGACGCAAGCTACCAAAACTCACCCGAGGAGAAACAGATCATCTAAATAGGTTTATATCTAGTGCAGAAGCTATTTAACGTAAACCCCTCATTTCACAAATGGAGAGCAGAGGCCTAGAGAGGGGTATTGATTTATGTGAGAATTCACAGTGAGACACAAGGATCCTAGGCTGGACCCCTGCACCATCAAATGAACCTGGAATTTAGAGTTGGAAGGGATGTTAGTGATTACCACAGGGATTACCACAGTTCGGGATTCAGGGGCCCCCTCAGACAGGGAGGGACGCAGGCACGTGTGAGGGCGTACACGGTGGGGGGCGGGGAGTGAGGCAGGATAGTGAGGGAGGATGGGTGTGCTCTGGGCGTGCACAGCGCGTGTGGGGGAGCAGTGCGGGAGGGGAGGAGCGCACAGGGGAGGGGAGTGTCCGGTGGGCCCCGGGAAGAGCTGCACTGTCCTGGGCCTGCTGGCTACGCTTTAGGAAATCCCACTGTGCCTCCTGGATGCTTCTGATGAGCTTCCTGCTGGACATGGTGATAGGGGCGATGACCAGACACCTTAACATCTGCTGCAAAATGGGTGAGTCCAGGCATCGAGCCCCTAATCCCTGCCTCCGGAAGTGCTCATCTCGGGGGTCCCTCTAGCCCCTAACACCCATGTGCCTCTGAGAAGAGCAGAAGCAGCCACACAGCAGGAGTTAGGGAGACCGGCAGCCTAGACCAGCGCCTCTGCAGGCTCACTGTGGTCAGTCCTGGTCCTGCTGGTCAGTGTCCTTTTTTTTTTCCGGTACCTGGAATTGAACTCATAACCTCGCGCTTGCCAGGCAGGTGCTGTGCCGCTGAGCTAAATCCCCAGCCCCCATGTTCAGTGTCCTTATCTGCCCTGCCTTACTGTTCTGGGTGGATCCAGGTACTAGAGAGAAAGCGGGGAGATGAAAAACTACCCTACGCAAGGCAGCTGGTGATAAATGCTGTCAAATGCTTCCATGTAAGAGTTTACTTGGTAGGAAAGGGGTGCCACAGCTCGTCAGGCTGCACCCTATTGTAGCACAACCTTTGCGTGTGAAGCAATGGAGAAACCAGTCCGGGAGACGGAGACCTGCTGAGGCCACGTGGTGGGTCAGAGGCAGGGGGAGCCGAGGTCAGACTTGGATTTATAGACCCTGCCCCCGCCCCCCCGGGAAGCAGCTGCTGTCCTTTGGGACCTCGGGACCCTGCTTGTCATGGCTTCAGCTTCCCCACCAGTGAGAAGCTGAGGTGTGAGCCTAGGAATGGACACTCTAACCTTGGCCTCCTGTGCAGGAGCTGAGCTGAACGACTTTGCTGTCTTCACCACCTTCGGCCTGGCCTCGGCCCTGCTCCTCGGTGTGGACGGGCCTCTGAATGGGCTTGTGGCCGTCATCTACGTGCTAACCACTTCCTTCCGCCTGTGTTTTTATTCATCTGGTGAGTGGAGCCCAGGCAGCCTCGGGTCTGAGGGAGGGACCACAGTGGGAGCTGCTGTGGGGAGCTGGACGCCGGCAGTGCAGGGACCGGTGCCTTTCTGCGCAGTGCCTGTCTGAGAGCTGAGTGACCTGCAGACCCTCGCTGCCCTGGCTCGAGGCATCCGGGGAGGGGAGGCCCCGAGAAGGGCTGGCTTTATTTCGATGGCTTTATTGACAGCAGGGGAAGCGCTGACCTCCTGTGTCTTTCCCCAGCAGGAGTTCCCTTCTCATACAAGGGCCTCCCCTGCTCCTACGCTTCCTGTGTTCTGGCGTCCATCTCCCTTCTGACCAAAGGCAGCACGTTCATTCTCTGCCTCATGGCCTCACTCATGATTCTGTTCATGGTAGACCAGAGCTACTACCCACGCGATGATGTCCTGGAGTCTGAGAACTGGAAAAAAGTGGTTTATGTGGCAGGTGAGTGAAAAGACTGTGCTCGGCTGTCACTAGTAATCAGTTCGGTGTCACTACCATTCACGGCCACCTCACCCTATTTCCTGACTACCTGCCTCATTTTTCACCCCAGAATTTATCATCTGACTCAGTGTACATTTACTAGGTTTTAAAGTTCTGTATCTGTAACTATCCTCAGTAAAAGATTCTCTTTTATTCATGCTACAACCCCTGTGCCTACAATTGTGCCTATCGCATAGTGGATATTCAGTAAATACAGTGTTTGTTCATGGTTAAGGAGTTGAATAGAAATTGAAGGAAGGGCTGGGGATATAGCTCAGCGGCACAAGTGCTTGCCAGGCAAGCGCAAGGTCCTGAGTTCAGTTCCTGGTACCAAAAAAAAAAAAAAAAAAAAAAACCAGCAAGAAACTGAAGGAGCACCTACCATGTGCCAGGTACTGGGAAGCAAACTGGTAAACTAGACCCAGTCCCTGCCTCTGAAGTTACAATCTGATAGAGGAGAAAGACACCAAACAGATAACGGCAGAAGTAGCTAGAAGCATAAAGTTTTGATGCACTGTTGACAGTGCAGGTTGGTCAGAGAGGGTGTCAGAGGGGGGCTTAATTCACATTGGATGGCTGCAGAGAGGGAAGGGGTCCTTAAGGAGGTGACATTTAAGTGCAAGATGAGTGGCCAGGTGAGTAGGAGGGGGCAGTTCGGGCGAAGGAAACCGTGTTTCGTGATGACTTCGAGGCCAGAAGGAGCCATGGGTGGCTGGAACTTGCCCAGAGAGTCAGTGACACAAACTGAGGTCAGCAAAGGAAGCAGACTGAGCAAAGTTAGGACTTAACTAGAAGCAAATGAGAAGCCCGTGATGGGATTTGTGCAGGAAGGGAATGAGCAGAGTAATAATCTCTGGCAGTCACTTTGGCTGCAGCTTGGAGGACAGATGGTGGATGGTGGAGCCTGAGAGGGGAGCGCCAGCCTTTCGCTCAGAGAGGTGACGGCAGTGGTGATGAGAAGCCATTGGGCTTGAGACAAGGGCCGGAAGTAGAATTGCCGTGGGGGAAGGGGAGGGGTCATGGCTAACTCCCAGGTTTCCAGTTAAGCAACTGAGCCCTGGGTTCCAGGCCCTGAGTTCCTGTCACACTGCGGCTCTGGTCAGCGTCTTCCTAGGGTTTTCCCTGATTAGGGTTTCCTCCAAGCAGATTCTTTCCTCCAACCAGATTCTTTCTTTTAAAATATGCAGGTGTAACAAGACAAGCATCTCTGGAAATGCTTTTTTTTCCATTATCCCCTTTGAGTTCACAGAAGTTTGTGGGGTCCTTGCTTCCATCCTGACCTTGCCCTTAAGTTTCATATCTTTTGTAACATTGGCACCGAAACTATTCAAGTTCTAGGTGCCGGATCCTCCTCTAACCTACACGGCCCATGCAGAGTGGCGACGAGAAGGACCTAGGTTTGGAGCCAAACAGATCAGAGTTCAATTCTGACTTCTGCACGCTGCAGTTGTATGAACTTGGGCTAACATGATACTTTTTAATCTTAATTTTTATCTATAAAATGAAGTGGTTTTTTTTTGTTTTTTTCTGGTACCAGGAATTGAACTCACGACCTTGAGCTTGCCAGGCAGGCACTGTGCCGCTGAGCTAAATCCCCAGCCCCTATAAAACGACATTTAAAATACTCTCTTGAAGGATCATTTGGATTTTTTTTTTTTTTTTTTGGTTTTTCTCCGGTACCGGGAACCAAACTCACGACCTTGCACTTGCCAGGCAGGCGCTTTTGCCGCTGAGCTAAATCCAGGATCGTTTGGATTAAGTAAGGTAATGGATATGCTCATAAATCCTTCGTCACAGGTGTGAACTGGAATGGTAATTCCTAGCTCCTATCTTCTCCTAGTGCATAGCAACAGCATTTCTCCCAGTGTTCTTTGCTCCTGTAGATACTTCGATTTCTTCTTTTCAAAATCAGCCATACAACTGTTCTCAGTCTTTGGTGTGTGAGGAAATGAGGAACATGTACCTCACAGATTTTGACACCAGTTGATACCAAAGTCCTACTGTGTAGATTTCAAAATGGCTGCAGCTGAGATTCCTCTTGCCTGGTGAGCAGCAGCCCCTTTCCCAAAGCTCTGTGTGTTTGGAATGCTGACCCATGGCCAGCTTTGGAGATCTTATGTTGCATATTTTCTAGGACGGCTCCAGTTTTCAATAGTTTCTTTACCTCAAAAGGTCATTGATTATTCTTGAAATGCCCTATTGCAAATTTCCAGCACATCCGCTTAACTGCTTTTTACCTCTAGAAGTGTCCTCTGTCAGACCCAGTGTTCTGATTTCTTTTATAAATTCGTAGTGGTTATTCCCATGGAAATGCGGTCACCCATCGTCTCCTGCCTCTTTCTAAGCCACCCACAGCCCTGCCACCACAGTACTGGGGACTGAGCCTAGAGCCTTCTCACTGAGCTATATCCCTAGCCCTTTTTTATTTTTTGTTTAGGGACAGGGCCTCATTAGGTTGACCAGGCAGGACTCAAGCTTGTGATCCTCCTGCCTCTGTCCCCCAGGTGCTGGGATTATAGGGATGTACCATAGCACCTGGCCTCTTTTTGAGCTTTCTGAAGCAGTGCAGGCATCCAGTTTTTAAGAGCCAGGCAGGCATGGTTTGAATCAGGACCTTGTATAAGTTATTTCCCATTTGTTCATCTGCAAAACACATTCAGTTTTCTTTTTTTGTGTGTGTGTTGGGATTCAAACTCAGAACCTTGCTCTTGCCAGGCAGGCGCTGTGCCACTGAACTATATATATCCCTGGCCCCAACACATTCAATGTTAAGTCATAGGATTATTATGAAGTATAAATGAAATAGATTGTGGAACAATGCTGTGTTGGTTACTTTTCTCTCATTGCTGAGACAAAATACCTGACAGCCAAGGTTAAAGGAGGAAAGGTTTATTTAGCTCACAGTTTGTGGAGGTTTCAGTCCATAACCAGCAGGCTCCAAGGTAGTTTGACATGGCAGAGGGCGACAGTTCTTGGTGGCAGAAGATAGCACAAGCAACAAGAACAAAAGGGGAGGAGAGAGAGAGCAAGCCTCTTTCCCTCCCTTACACTGTACGCAGGCTTCCTGCCCCAAGGCGGGTGTAGCACTCACACCCATAATCCTAGCATTGGACGTTGAATCAATCACAAACTCTAGAAGCCCGCCTCATGACTGCGTGAGGCTTTGGGGGTCATCTGACACAAACCGTAACAAATGGCTAGCAGAATGTCTAGTACTGAGTAGATATGCTACCAATGTGGGAGCCCTGTTGCTTTTTGGTGGTGAATCTAAGACTCAAATTGGGCCTGGTGCCCCCAAGACTACTGTTCGGTGATTTGCTGGAAGATCTACGGGACTCTGTATATTGTCCTACTCGTGACTAAGATTGTATAGAGCAAAAGGATGCAAAGCAAAACCTGCAATGGGAAAGGGTGTGTGGGACAAGCTTAGAGCAAACCAAGTGCAAGCTTCTAGCAGTCCTCTCGCAGTGGAGTCCTATAGCTGCACTCAATTCCTCCAGCACTGCATGTGGATAATAATGTAAAGCAGGTGTCCACCCCTCAGCCTGTGGGCTGCACGTGGCAGTGTGTCTCCGCCAAGATCATGAACTTAACACTATGATGTAATTTTAGCAATATTTTTCACGACTCAGTTGATGGGTGGACTGGGAGGTGACAAAAAACACTGTGCAGGGGGCGGCTCGGGGCAGTCCCAACTCTACCTGCTGCGCCTGCCACACACAGTCCGTCAAATAGTCGCCTGTGGGAGTCAGACGTCATGTGCACGTGTGCGACTTGGCGAGCAAAACGCAGCGAGTACTGATATCAACTCCCTGCCCGTGGGTGCGCCTGACAGGCGTTTATTGTTATTAAGCAGACGTGTAAGTTTTCTTCTCTACTTATTAAACTTGACCTTGTTGTGTTCTTTTGTAAAATAATTTAGTAATTTAATCGTTTTTTTAAGCAGCTAGTGTATAGGAAAAAAATGTATCAAAAAGGTTTTTTGCTCATGATAGTGTTAAAAATATAACAAAGGAAGCTTTGTTACTTATATACTTTAACTATATTATATATTTTATATGTGGCCCAAGACAGTTCCTTTTCACTCGGTGTGGCCCATGCAAGCCGAAAGGTCAGACACCCATGATATGTTGTCCTGCCAGGGAAGCTCATGAGAGACTCAGTGCCCAAGGCTTTGACTGTGGACCAGTCACAGAGGAACCCTCTGCATAGCATATACCCAATTCCCGACTCCCCAGCGTGAAGCCCATGCTCAGCATGAACCGCTGTGCTTAAGCAGCGTGGGGACGGCAGCCTGCTCTGATCAGTTAGGGGAGATTTTGTGTTGGTGTTGGATCTGTCCGCCAGTGGTCAACCTTGTAAGCGGGCGTGTCTACAGATAGCAGCCTCAGGCCTGCTGTGTTAACTCTTTTCTGTATGCATGTAACATTGTGTTGACCATCATCCTATGTTAAATTTGAAATAACTTGGAGGGTTTTAAGATTTTTATTTTTTATTAGTGCAAGTTTGCAGTACATACAGTTTTGGTGGCACATGCTTGTAATCCCAGCACTTGGGAGGCTGAGGCAGGAGGACTGCCACAAGTTTAAGGCCAGCCTGGGCTATGTAGTGAATTCAAGGCCTGCCCAAACTACCTTGTCTCAAAAAACTAAAAAAAAAGAAAAAAAAGTTTATAATCCTCTTGGGAGTGGTTCCATGTACATAATACAACTTGTTTCTTTTTAAAATCCCCTTCCTTCCACCCTCCTGCAATTCCCCTTTCCCCATTTTCATTCTTGATGTTATTAATCTTAGCTCATGTTTATGACATACAGTGTTTATATTCATTGAGATTATTGGGCTCCTGTGTGTGGCATAGCCTCATTCTGCTTATTTTCTCTCCCCTACTCCTTGCCCTTAGTTTCTTGGACCCCTTCCTGCTGCAAGAGATCCAGAGCATCTCCTTCTGTCCAGCCTTTATTAAGTGGAGGGTTTTTTTCCCTAACAGAGATTGGGGCCACTCAAATGTATTCTGGGATAGGACTGGTTTCTGATTTGAAACTGACAAAATGGGATCTGAGATTACATGAGGGTACAAGTGGCTCGTTACATACATATACATATACATGGGTCCATAGAAGTTAAATTCAAGTTAAACACGGGGCTCCTGTCTGTGCTATTTCTTGGGTACTGAATGCCTGTGGAGGGTGGGAGGGTGGGGTGCAAACCCCGTGAGACAGCTTCATAGAAACTGAGTGCCTGTATTTTTGCTTCTTCCAGGTGTCGTCATGCTGTTTTTCTCCCCATTTACCCTCACCGCTTTTTACTGCCTGCTGTGGTCGCTCTCCTACATCTTCTTTCCGGATGCGCTGTGGGGCAGGACACTCTGCATTAGTCTGTAGCGTGGAGGAAACCATAGGCCCACCAGCTCCCGCTGGCCTCTGTGGGCCCTGTGTCAGCACGTGAGGCGGGCCGTGTCTCACATGACTAAAGCTTTCCTCGTGCCTGCGTTGTCCTGTGCCAGATACACATGATCGCTGTTGTCTTGAACCGTAACAAACCACGGTCAGTCCAGCAGCCTTTGCTTCGTTCTCTTTATTCCCGGTTCTGACTCCTTTGAGGCAATACTTGTGTATGTCACACAGAACAGATTATTTTCCAAGCCAAGTGTCAGCTGTGTTTGGGTTCCAGCTCTGTCACTGGGCTAGGGCTCATCCCTTGGAAAGAAGAGACGTGCTCCAGAGTTGGTGGAGCCGCTACCTCAGCCTGGCTGGATGCCGATGATCCCAGGGTGGGCTCACCTACAGGCTGTGTCTGGCTCAGAGAGCTGAGCTCAACTTAAGACTTTACTTTGCTCCCTTTGAATGTGTCTAAGCTTTGTAATTTAAAACTTCTGTGTGTAAACTTGAGAGCTGCCATTTGCTTCAGTTAGAGATTAGATGCATTGGTGGCACAGAGCATCATCTGGTTTAAGCTCTCAAACACTGAAGTCTAGTCAAATGCCACTTTATCGCCTAAAAACCAAATCAAGCTGGGCATGGTGGTATGTACCTGTAATCCCAGCACTCAGGAGGCTGAGGCAGGAGGATCACTGTGAGTTTGAGGCCAGCCTTAACTACATAGCAAGACTCTGTCTCGAAAAAAAATTATATATATATATATACACACACACACACATCAAATAGAATGAACAGTATTGGATTCACTGAAAACAGGGAGTCTCCAGCGTCAGCAGCAAACTGCCCGCCTCCAGATGGGTGGCCAGAAGGAGTGGGGGCCAAGCTGTGCCTTCCCAGAGGTGGCGCCAGAGCACTTTTAACCACATGTACGACTGTCTGAAGTTCGCAAGTTGTCACAACTTTGTGTGTGGTAAAATATGCATCAAATCTACAAGTAGATTTATAAAAATACCAATCCAAGAAGCCCACATCACTAGATGTGGCTCTAAAGAGCAGTGTCCTCTTCCCCACTTCTCTCTCTTCTCCCTGTTCCTGGTTTCTGTTGTCACGCTCAGGTGACTGCGCCTGTGCCCCACCAGGTTTCAGTCTCCTCAGTGTGCTTCTGCTGCCTGGCCCAGCGCCTGGCACTCAATGCATTTACTTTGTAGATCGATATACTTAAGGATTCTGGTAAGTTGCGCGTAAGGTCACTGTGCTAGAGTAAGAAGGATACAGGCACCCCCTAGGTTTGGACGTGGCTCTGCAGCGCCCCCCTGTGACACAGTACGTGCGTGTCCCGTGAGGCTTTGCTGCGGTGCTTGTGTCGAGGGTTCTGAGGAGTGCCTGAGAGGCTGGTGCAGCACACGTCTGGGTGTGTCCTGGGGCGTGACGCCGGGGACCACATCTGGTTCCTGACCCCTGTCCTCACTGTCTCGCCCTCACTGCTCGCTGGCTACCCAGGAAGATGGAGTAGCTTTCCTCCACTACCGTGATTTTCTGCCTTGGAACCTGCTGACTGTGGTCTGAAACTTCTGAATCCATGAAGCAAAATGGAACATTTCTTCCCATATATGAACATATTCATATATGCAGTATGAACATTGCATATGTCAGAAACTTTGTTCCAGCAGTGGAAGGCTGGCCAATGCATACACTTAGTCAGTACGCTGCAGCAACTCCAATCTGAGAACTGTCTTCCCCTACACTCTAGGGGTCAGCAGCTACCGCAATGCCCAGAGAGTATGGGTGCTAAAAAACCAAAACAAACAAATTTGTGTTGTTCTCACCCAACCAAATTTAGGACAGTTAGTTCAAATGTGCTAATTTTGAATATACAATTGAAAAAGCTAATATTTGGGGTTAACCAATAATGTCCTATTCTTTTGGGTTTTTTGAGACAGGGTCTCTCTTTGTAGTCCAGGCTGGTCTTGAACTCACTATGTAGCCCAGGCTGATCTCGAATTCTGGGTGCTCCTCCTGCCCCAGCCTCCTGAGTGCTGGAATTGCAGACATGCGCCACCATGCCTGGCAGAGGTCCTATTCTTGAATCATAATTTTATCAAGTTTGACTTCAAGTAACTTCTGTCTGTTTCTATGTTCAAAAGAAAAAGATTCAATTTTGTTTTTTGTTTTTTGAGACAGGGTCTTACTTTGTAGTCCAGGCTGGTCTTGAACTCACTATGTAGCCCAAGTTAGCCTCAAACTCGAGGCAGTCCTTCTGCCTCAGCCTCCCAAGTGCTGGGATTATAGGCATGTGCCACCACGTCCAGCCTTAAAAAATGCAATTTTGAAAGAGAATGTTCATGTCCATTTTAAAAGATAGCAGCAGAGTTAAAGAAAATATACAAGCCCCTATGAGGACTGCTTTGAAAAGCGAAATACTCACTTGGACCTGTACACTGTGGTTTGTTTGGAACAGTTACTACTTTTATACTTCATTGTTTTGATTTCTTTGCAGGTTAGTGACATGAAGACACTGCTAGGTCAGCTGAGATCTGGCTATACTCCTCGGCCGGCTATAACCCCCCACCTCAGAGCCTTTGTCTCCTACACAGTGAATTTTAAGTACAGAATGATTCTTCTTGGGCTTCCTCTTAGGAAGAAGTGAGCAGCCCAAGACTTTAACACTGCATTTCTCAGTGGAATCAGTGAAGCTGGAGGGGTCCTTTGGGTGGATTCTGCCCAAGCCGAAGGGGCAGCTCTTTGTATCTGGTGAGCCAGCTCAGGTGACTGAGGGCTCTGCTACTTCTGTAGCTCTGTGACCTTGAATAAAATGTTTCTCTCTAAGCCCACTTTCTTATCTGTAAAATGGAACATTTACTTCCTCCCAGGGTTGTTTTGCAAACCAAATACAGTGCCACATAACACACCTAGTGACTGCCATGGGGAAAAGATGTTGAATAAAATAACCATAATAATACTGTGTACAGTGAATGTATAAACAGTTCTAGCTTGCTACATGCCGGGAACCTTGCATTTCACTGTTTCACTTAATTCATGAGTTAGGTGACCACAGGCTTAAGGTCAGCAGTTATCAAAGTATGGTCTCCAGACCCCTGTGATTCCTGAGACCCTTTCAGGATCAAAACTATTTTCTCAATAACCCTAAAACAGGGATTATAATAGCACTTATTGACATTTCGCTAATGGAACAAAGCATCCGTGGGTAAGGCTGTTGATTCCTTGGTGTGGCTCTAGATGGCAGCCAGGGACCTTTTCACTGCCCCAAGCTCCCAGGAAACAACACAGCAGGGCAGTGTTGCTCACTTGTAATCCCAGCTTGGGAGGATTGGGAGTCACAGGCCAGCCTGGGCAACAAAGTGAGACCCTGTTAAAAAAAAAAAAAAAAAAAAAAAATTGCAGGGGCTGGGGATTTAGCTCAGCGGCACAGCGCCTGCCTGGCAAGCTCAAGGTCATGAGTTCGATTCCCGGTACCGGAAAACAAAACAAAATAAAAAAATTGCTGGTGATGTAGAGCATTTGCTTAGCATATATAACGCCGTGCATTCAAACACCAGCACTGCAAAAAACGTATAAACAGAAAGCAGTTTCACTTAAGAATATCCTTGAAGGAGCAGGAAGAATTACTAATTTTATGAAATCTTTAGTGCACATCTTTTTAGTATTTTCTGTGCATGAATGGAGTACGCTCGAGCGCTTCTGCTGCATACCACAGTGATGATGTAATTTCTAGGAAAAGCCCTGGTTTGAGCTGGAACTGAAACGATCTTTTCTGATGAAATGCTGCAGGACAATTGACACACGAGGGCGGTTAGAGTAGGCTTGCTTGCCGTATGGAGAGAGTGAGACTCTCACTTCAAGAAAGTCTTTGTTGGCAAGGATAAATTTGAGCTTCCATGTGAAAACTGCAGTTTTGGAAAGTTTGTATCTACCACCGAGCACTCTACTCCTGTCCAAAGGCTTTTCTGAGATCAGTGGGATATGAAGGAATACATATTTTTGATGTGTAATGCAATGTGTCAACATTTGGAAGATCCGCATAACTCAGTGAATTGGTATTTTCTAAATGACCAATACTTGATGTTACAAAATCACGCATGAGTGAAAAATTCACTCAAAGGCCAAGATTCAAAGACCAAAGGATTTTAATGTATCAGGGTACAAAAAGTTCCCTGATATGGTATCAGAGTTCATGTTGCAACTGATCTTTAAGAAAATACCACTCGCTGAGTTTGGTTGTGGTATGAAAGAAAATCTACAATGACCTCAAAAGGCTATTAATATACCCTTGTCTTTTCTAACTACATATCAACGTGAAGCTTGATTTTCTTCACACCTTTCAACCAAAATAATAGGAAAATTCAGAACATAGAAGTAGGTAGGAGAATGTAGTTGTTTCAATCTCCAGAATTAAGTGGGCTGTGAAAGACATTTGCAAAAGTATAAAACAGTGCCACTCTTCTCACTTTAGGATTATTCTAAAAAAAAAAATTTTCCACAAAAATATTATTTTTGTTAACCTGTGTTAGATTTGTATTGTTTTAAATGGACTAGTAAATATTTGGAAACTTTTAATTTCTACAGTAGCAAATATGATGCAACCCACATAAACAAAAGCTCTTTGGAATCCTCAGTTTTTGAAGCGTAAAAAGTTCCGAGGCCAAAAAATATGAGAATTACTTAGGAAGATTACAGCTTGCCCACACAATTAGTAAGTGGTGAACCAGAGTCAAACCCAGACAGCCTGACTTTCAAAGTCAGTGCCCTCAATTTTTTTTGTGCATGGCTTCAAAAATACCCTCTCTTACCCGGGACAAATGAGCAGTAGGAAATTCCAGGCAGGTAGGCAAATGTGTTCACTGACTATGCCTGTGAGTTTGCTTCAGTTATGGACACAAAGGCTCCTGAAGCCCGTACAGTGGTATTCCTCGGAGCCAGATGAATCTTCTTTCTTTAAAATGTGAATAAACCAATGACTCATTCCTGTCCTGGTTCAGGAATTTAATATCCGAATTTTTTGTTGTTGTTTAAACCACAGTACCGAGGATTGAATCCAGGTTGAACCCAGGGTGTCACACTGACTTGTATCCCCAGTCTGCCCCTCCTCCCTTTTTCAAATTCTGAGATGGGGACTCACCAAGTCACTAAGTTGACCAGGCTGGGCTTGATCTTGGGATCCTCATGACTCAGCCTCCCAAAGTGCTAGGATTACAGGCTCGTGCCACCATGCCCAGCTTCAAACTTGTTTTTCAAAGCAATAACCTACAGTAAGAAATAATTTTTATATCCAACATAGTATACACTTTATGTGTATATAAACCTGAAGCAAAAATTTCATGATATCCTTACCATACATTTGTGTGTGTGTGTGTGTGTGTGGTAGGCGCTAAGCACACACTCTACCACTGTGCTGCATCCGCAGCCTCATGTGCAAAAGTATAAAACATCTGAAATCCATTTTCTATTCTATTATTTCATTAGAAAAAAAAGTTAACATTTATCAAGCTGATTTTTCAAACACCTGCACTTTGCAAAACTGCCCTACTGTCCTTCTCCAGACCAACAATATCCAGGAGTCTGAGACATGGTAATACAAGCAGTTCCCTGCAAAGGGCCAGAATCTTCCCAAACAACAGTCATTACCATCTGGGTATCTGAAACTCAAAGCGTTTCCCATGAAGTGATCTGAAAACTTGCTGGGAAGGGAAATAACACTGTCACATACTCTGCGTTATTTTCTTTCTTTCTCAACAATGATCCTATGAGGAAGGAAACAATGTTCTATTACCTAGATGGGAAAAAAGAACTTGGAGCACTTAACCCAGGTCATTTACTCCTAAAGCTTAGCTCTTTTAGTGTATTAACAGTATTTCCTTATGTTTACAGAGATAACTCCCTCTAACCCCATCTCCAACAAAAAACAAAACTGAACCCAAACTTAGCAGGACCCTACAGAACCTAAGTACCATTTACAGGGGTAATCTGTGTAGAGATTATCCTTAATTATAACTTGGGCTCTTAAAGACACCTCTTCACAGCGGTAGCAAGTTACTAATAACACACAATTGTCTTTCCAGTTTACTGCAAAATAAGCCAGAGCAGCGGGAATAGTACTCTCAGGGACTCCAGAGGCAGGCGGGAACAGCGCGCCATGTCCCCAGCACACAGTAGGAGAAACACAGGCATTTCCAGCCTGGAGAAAGAGAGACGGCAGTAGTGGACTTTTTGGGGTTTTTTTGAGTGTTGTGCCTCATTTCCATCTTTCTTCATCTTTTCTGAAATCCATTTTCCTCATTCCCAAGGAAAATGTCCTGAAAGAACAATCTTTCCCTTTGCTCAGCATTAAAATAACTTCTGCTAACATGCTGGTTCCTGTCCTGGTTCAGGAATTTAACATCGACACAAATTTCTGAGGTAGAAACAGCTTTCCATCTCTAACCCTACAGATGGCAGTTGGATGGGTGGCTGTTTGGTATCTGAGGGGCCAGTCTGAATATTACCATCACAGACTTTTTATTTATTTATTTTCATCTTTCTGAGACAGGGTCTTGCTATGCAGTTCAGGCTGGCCTCGAACTTGCAATGATCCTCCTGCCTCAGCCTCCTGAGTGCTGGGATTACAGGTGTGTGCCACCACGCCTGACTGCCGGGCTTCAGACTATTTTTTTTTTTGGTACTGGGAATCGAACTCAGGACTTTGTGCTTGCCAGGCAGGCATTTGTGCCACTGAGCTATATCCCCAGCCCTCATCAGACTATTATGGCTTGTGTCAAGATGTCCCCTAAAGCCTTATGTGGTCATAGGTGGAGCTTTTTCAGAGATGGCTGGATCTACAGTGTGTGATGCCAGGATTGATTCATGGTGCAATGCTAGGCTCAGGGGCACTAGGATTAAGAGTGTGGGTGCTGCCCACCCTGAGTAGCCTCGATAAAAGGGGCAGGAAGACGCTGTTAAGGTCCATTTGTTTTGTTACTTTTTGCCCACCATGAACTGTTTCTCCTCTGCAATATGTGTCTGCCACACCGCCTTGGAGCCAGCTGACTATGGGCTGAAACCTCTACAAACTCTGCACTAAGTAAACCTTCCCTCCTTTAACTTTGGATGTCTGGTGTTTTGTCTCGGCAACAAGAAAAGTAACTTCAAACACATCTCTGGGAAAGCTAGAGTAGCCCCCAAGTTAAAAACGAAAAGCACTTGCACTCCATGCAAGCCTGCCGCCAGCACTCCTTGATGGCAGGTGAAACTCCTGACTTCTAGCTTTTCTGGTGAGCGGCTCAAACGCAGTAAAGGGTCACACACAGTATGTGTGTGTGATGAAACGCTTATGATCAGCAGGCTCTGCAGAGCATCAGCCCATGAAGACCAAACCCTGGAAGCAGTCCTAATCCTCTTCTCCCTCGTTCCTGAAGGAGGAAGGGTGCTTTCTGTCTGCTCAGACTTTTGAAGTGTCTGACATATTTATTCAATGAGCACCAGCGATGTCTCAGGCGTCACTGGCACTGGGTGACAAAGCAGTGAACAAAACAGTACAGATCCTGGCGCTCACACGAGTGGGCTGACAGACAAAAAATAAAACAAATGAGTGAATATAGTATTTTAGAAGGCAACAGAAACACAGAATGAAAAACACAAGGAAGGGGACATGGACTGCTGGGATGAAGCTTGGTGAAGGGCACACCTTTAGGCAGGGTGGCGCTGTCATGGAGAAGCTGACATTTGAAGGCAGATGAAGGTAAGGACATAGAGAGGAGATGCATGATGGATATGCATGAACTCCCCGCGACGAATGCCATCATTATGAACTATGAATGTGAACCAATGAAAATAAACGATTTTTAGAAAGGTGAATGTGCAGCGTATGTGGAGGGAGCAGATCAGGCAGAAGGACAAACGTGCACAAAGACCCTGAGGAGGGAGGGTACTTACTGTTTCTGAGCAAGAGCAGGGGAAGCCAGCGTGGCTGGAGCAGAGTGCAGAGGTTGTCAGAGAGGAGGAGAGGCTCCCATCAGGCAGAGCTTTGACCTTATGGGTCACCCTTGCTCTCAGACAGAGTCAACAGAGGTTTCGGGCAGAGGCAGCGCCTCACATGTTTTAACAGGGTCACTCTGGAGTTACGCCCAGAACACACAACAGGGGGACAAGAGTGGGAGCTAGGAAAGCAGTAAGGGGGGGCGACTTAGAAAACGTGGGGGAAGATGATGGCATCTTGCTCCAGAGTGATAGAAGTAGCAGAGGCAGTGATGGTGTATGGAATATACATATATCAAATTACATATACTAAAATAGATTTGCGGACACAAAATGGTATGAGAGAAAATGAGTCAAGAATGACTTAAAGGGGCTGGGGATTTAGCTCAGCGGCACAGCGCCTGCCCAGCAAGTGCAAGGTCATGAGTTCGATTCCCAGTACCAGAAAAAAACCAAAAAAAAAAAAAAAAAAAAAAAAAAAAAAAAAGAATGACTTAGAGGTTTTGGCCCAAACAAGGAGAAATACTGAGTTGTTACAAACTGAACAGGGCCCAGCGCTGGAGATTTAGCTCAGTGGTGCAGCACCTGCCTGGCAAGCTTGAAGCCCTAGTTTGATTCCTGGTGCTAAAAAAAAGGGCCCAATGTGGCACGAGCATGTTTGCAGGGAAAGGGGTGTCAAGAGTTTAGTCCTAGGTGTCCCCTCAGTGTTTCCTACTGCCTGCATTCTTTATTTCACTGTGGCTTGGCCCTCCCATCCCAAAGGATGAGCAAATGAGCATTTTATTAGTATTTTATTTGCATTTTTGAAGAAGAATCATGGTTTCACAAACACTGATTTTTCTGAAATAATAGAAAAAGTAAAAAAAAAAAAAAAAAAAAAAAGAAACCTATTATCTCAGTAGAAGAGAAGTCTCTTCAATAAATGCCAGGCCAATCAGAGTGGAAGAACTGTGAAGCGGAAGTTGCATATAGCAAGTAAGTTCAGGTTTATCGGCAAATGCCTTATCTAGTTCAGTAGATAAGGTTCCAAAATGAGCTAAGCACCGGTAACAAGCCCACGAACAGGGCCCGCAGTCCCAGGGGGTCGAACACAGGGCCGGCTCACTCTCCAGGAGGCTGCATCTGTTTACAAAACTCATCAAACTGCTGCTGCTCCAGTTCCGTCATGACTCTGTTGAGGGCATAGATCTGAAAAGAGACAAGTTAGCAATGAAAGCAGCTGCCCAGGGGGCCTTCAGACTCAACAGGTCATGTGATCTAGAAGCCCCGAACTGTAAGAGTGATGGTAGAGAAGGGAGAGTGCTTTGGGAACAGGAAGTATATATCATCCCACCTGAAGAATCAATAAAAAAGTAGTGAGGTAGGCAGGTTGGTCCTTAGGGGATAGTAGGATTCAAATAGGTAGAAACTGAGGATGGCCCTCATAGGCAACTTGGGGGAATTATGCATACACAAGTGCGGCGTGGAACAGCAGCAGTTCAAGCAACTTCGAGCGTGCCCATGCGGAGGGTACAGAGTGCAGTGGGGAGCTGGAGCAGGCAAGACCACAAGTGCACTGAGGCCTTCGACGCCGTGCCAAGGAACTGGGGTCTATCAGACTCCGGAGGGCCAGCAAAGATAAGTGTGCAGGGGAGCAATCTGATCCTACCTGTGCCTTAGGAAAGATAACGAGGTCACGTGAGGGAAGGACAGTGTGTGCTTGCGGAGGGACTGTCAACCATTTAGGTGGCATCTGTTATACTGGTTATAGGACTCCAGTCACATTATTTCACTGTAAAGTGAGGGTGACAGACCTTCCTCACAGGTCATGTTTTCTATACCCCACCCTTACTCTAGGAAAGATCTACAACGGGCAAAACGGGAATAACAGTAATACCTGCCCTGTGTGGGATTATGTGTTCACGCGTGTGCAGGCTCGGCTTGGGCCTGGAACACTGTAAGAGCTCAACAAGTGCCAGCTGCCACTAGACTGAATCCCTCGCACCACATCTCAGCAAATGGACATGAACAGAGCAGCTGTTTGATTTCAATGGTGAGAGGAAGCCAACCGCTTGGAAGCGCGATTCCTGACCACAATCACTTTTTTACTGAGGGCCTTCTCTGTGCCAGGCGCTGTGCCAAGTGCTTCACATGTAATATTTCTATTCACTCTGACAGTCTTGTGCGGTAGATACACTCTCACTTCATCAAGCAAGAACTGAGTGAGGTTCAGAGGGCTGAAATGTCTTGTTCAAGGTCACAGGAAAAGAACTGGGATTTGAAATCAGACAAATAATTTAACTTGTGAAACCTCACTGGAAGGGTGTCAGTAAGTACATGAATAATGTCCTCAACATCTATCAGGCTGTTTTATAGGGCTGTTTCTTGCAGCAACCCTCCATCTGTTCACCAGAGCACAATGCAATACAATCATCCAGGGGCCTGGGACCAGGTAAGGGCAGAAACATTTCTTAGGCCCAGGACCACAGCTTCCAGACGCTCTGCTTAATGGAGAAGTAGATTTAAGTGTACAGCTTAACTTCACGTATACTAAATTTATTGTGTTTAGGCACCAGGAAGCAAGGATTCTCCGCTTTGCCGGGTCATGTGGCTCATGTTCCTAAAACAGTACCTCAGCAGCAGCAGCTCAGTATTTGCTAATGAATGGATCAGATCGGGTATCAGATCAGAAACGAGGAGTGAGCCATCTGTTTCACTGCCAGTGGGATGCAAGCATGTACAATCCCCTTGAAAGCCATTTGGCAACGTGGACCCAGTAATTCTTCTAGCTAGAGCCCTAAGCAAAAATCTTCTAAGTAATTAAAATGTCCATCACTGCAGGGATGGGGAAATACACTATGTAAGGTGGGTTCATATAAAATGAGACAACAGTAAAGACTGATAAACTAGATACTTGGATTAACATGAATAGCTCTAAAAATATAATACAAACAAAATGCAAAAATATATGGAATTTTACTAATGTAAAAATTTAAAACATAAAGCAATACTGTTTATTGTTCAAGGACATCTACTAATATATTTGTATGAAAAAAACAGTGCTTCACCCATGGGGAGGGGAAAAAGCTTTAAGACCAGATGCAGACAACAGGGATTTCAAATTTATAGCTGATTTTTAAAATCTTACTTTAAAAAGACTCCAGAATCTGGGTACAGCGGCACGTGCCTGTAACCCCAGCACTCAGGAAGCTGGAGCAGGAAGACTGCTTTGAGTTCAAGGCCAGCCTGGGTTACATAGTGAGTTAAACACCAGCCTGATCTACATAGCAAGACCCTGTCTCAAAAACAAAAACCAAAACCTCCAAATATGACACAGTGCTAACTGTTCCCAATCTGGGGTGCTGACGATCTAATTTTCTGCACTTCTAAATTTTTCAAAAACAAAGAGGGAAGAAAAGATCAGCATGCTTTTTCTTATCTATTGAAATAAAATACACCTAGATGTGGATCAGCATTTGCAACATGAACAGTTTAAACCTTTTTATTCACACAATGGCTGTAAGTGGTGAAAGACTAGAAAAACACATCGGTGGGCTTAAGGTCTGGGCCCTTACCTCGCTGTGAACAACTATCCCACAGCGTTTGCAGCAATCCAGCACGTGACCCTGCTGCCCTCTCTTTCTGACCCCTCCCTTACACATCCCTTCTTTTTTCCTTGCCTTCTCCCATCATGTCCCTACCATAAAAGCTCTGTGCCCAGGGTCCTCTGGAGCCCGGGTACTGGCTGGGGTTGTAATGCTAACTTGTCACGTGACTCTGAGATGCCCTGTCACTAAGAGAACTTCGGTCTCATCTGGAGGAAGGCAGGGCTCCCCGTCACTGCCCCTGTCTCTTTTCTTTTTTTCGGTTCAGGGACTGGAACTCGGGACCCTGCGCTTGCCAGGCAGGTGCTGCGCCGCTGAGCCCTATCCCTGGCCCTCAGCCCCGCTTTCTACTGCTTCTCTATTCCAGAAGACACAGGCAACCCCACCCACAACTCTCACCTCCGCTCTCTGTCTTTGTTTCAGCTCTTGCTGGGCTGACTTCTGCTTAGCCTTCTCCACCCTGCTGACAGGTTCTTTCACTTTGGATTTGTCCTTACGTGCGGGTGGATCCATGACTTGGCCCCTGAGGATGTCCCGAGCTCTGGCCTGGATGATGCGGTAGAGGCAGACCTTTCAAAAGAGAGCGAAAGGCGGCGGGTGGCAGAGAGAGGCCGCGAGGAGGAAAGGCAGGAATGAACGAGAACAAAGTGGCGGCTAGTCACTCTCCTTACTGATGCCTTCGCCGAGCGCCTTCCTTTGACGGACGGGCCAGAGCGGCCCGGGAGCAGGAGAAGCGGGAGCCCCCGCCGAGCCCTAACTTCCCGTCTGCAGAATGGGCCCGCACTCCTCTCCCCGCCTCCCGGCGCCACTCGCCGTGAGTCGGCCGCGGGCGCTGCGGCGTGGGGCGGCTGGGGCCCGA